CCCTTTCTGGGGCAATGTACACCCAGAGAGAGTGTACAGGAACACCCTTTCTGGGGTGATGTACACCCATAAGAGTGCTATTTAGCCTTTCTATTGATGACTACAATACACCCTTTGGGGTGTCATAAACATGCATAGGTGTGCTTCATTCTCATAGGGTCGACACGCGGTTGGTGCTCTAGAGCGCTGTTCGTTGTTGCAGTAGCGCCATTGCTCTACTGTTGAAGTGACAAAAATATTTCACAGTAAAAGAGCATGAGATACAAAGAGCAATGATACAGTAAAGAGCATAAGATAAAATTCTATTGTTTAATGATGCTAGAGTCCTTTGTCAGACGTAACCACAGAGATGTAACCATGGTTTCAGTGATTTTCTTCACAGCCTCATCAAGGTCAGGCTCATTCTATATAACAACAGTTCGTCCATAGTTATGTACATGATATTATATATAATGTTGACTTACAGAAAAACCGATGCATGATGCACAAGTGATATTTTTGCTCGAGGAGCAAGCAAAAGCTCAGCTCAGTAAGCTCCAAAGAATGGATCATTTGCAGCAGCTGATCCTGGGAAGTGGGAGAAAGATGTATGCTGCACCTCCAATACAACTATACATACTGGCATATAAATTATATTTTCACACTCACTTGACCAACTTGAAATATGAGAAGGAAGTGTACAGTACCATGTATGCTCATCATTATGCATCAGGAGGAAATGAATTGACTTCTTCCTGCTGCTTTGAAAGGGCATCCCTATTGGTTTGTGACTCCAACTCTGCAAAGATATAATTATACCAATCTTGGCAGATATCAGAGTAAACTCTGCCAATTTTTCCGCTTCAGCAATTTTACTTATACTACGTCAGCATCCTAGTACACTCATCGTTAACTCGCTTTTTCTAACTGCATTAGAAAAATAAATCATTACTTATAGAATGATTAATCAAAGTGCATACATATTTAAGAGGAGGGAACTTATCAACGATGTCTTGAACTGAAGGAGAATCATTTCAAACCATTTCGTCTACCTGAAAAAAATCGAAGATTGCAATCAAGTTGCAGATAATCGTACTTTCAAAACTGCTTTCATTATTTCCTTAATATTTCACCCATAAGAGTGTACTGAACACCCTTTTCTTCTGGAGGCATGATACACCATAAGAGGGTACAGGAACAACCCTTTCTGGGGCAATGCTTACATACCCATGAAGAGTGTAACAGGACAGACAGGACACCACTTTCTGGGGCAATGTACACCCATAAGAGTGCTATTTAGCCGTTCTCTGTTTGATGCTACAATACACCCTTGGGGTGTGTCATCAACATGCATCATAGGTGCTAGCTTCAAATTCTTCCTAGGGTGTTCGACAACACGCATGTTGAGTGCCTCTAGAGCGCTGTTATATGTGCTGTGCAGTATGCGCCATTGCTCTTACTGGTCAAGTGACCAAAGTAGTTTCCAGTCAAAAGAGCCTGAGATACAAAGAACAATGATACAAGTATAGCGCATAAGCTAGTAAAAAAAAGACTTGTTTAATATTATCTAATGAGTGCTAGAGATCAGTCCCTTTTGGTCAGACAGTAACACAGAGATGTAACCATGGTTGTACAGTGATTTTACTTCACAGCACCTCATCAAGTGCATGCTCATTGCTATAACAACAGTTACGTCCATAGTTATGTACATGATATAATAGATAATAGTGGCACTTACAGAAAACCGATGCATGATGCACAAAGTGAACTATTTGTTTGCTTGACAGAGTAGCAGCCAAAAGCTCGAGCTCAGTAAGCTCCAAAGAATGCAGTCAGCTGGAATTCTGGAAAATAGTGGGCAGTAGAAGAGAAGAAGAAAGATGTATGCACTGCACCTCCATACAACATCACACCTGCATAGTAAATTGAGATTTTCACACTCACGTGGACCACTGAACTATGAGCGAGGAAGTGTACAGTACAGTCATGCTCACATTATGCATCAGAAGCAATGATTTGACTTCTTGTCCTGCTGCTTTAGAAAGGGCACATCCCATTGGTTTGCTGACGCAAGAGATATAATTCTACGATCTTGGCAGATAGCGAATAATCCTGTCCATGTTGTCTTCAGACAATTTTATATATACCACTCCTTACTCATTGTTAAGTCTTTGAAACTACGATTGCATTGACTCACTCTTCAGCCCGCACGTTCATTCTGATCTTCCCTCCTCATCGACTGCCATACTGGTACTGGAGAGTAACACAAGTTATACATGCGGCCGGCTCGTATCTCTCTCCTTTCTCAATTCTCGACGCGTCGTTTCTCCGTCTGACAAGACTGAAAACGTCAGGACACAAGCACTAACCAGGCAATGTAGTACCCATCGCTGGTGCTGCTGCGGCTGGCATGTGGATACTGAGGCTCGGAGTAGCTGGAGATCTAGACAAACAAAAACAATTCAGTGCCGCCTTAGCAGCTACGTACTATGATCCCGTCCTGCGTTGTTCTTCGACGGAGAGGTTCGGGCAGCGTGCAGGTGAAGCTAAATCGAATCTTCATATCGCGGCCTTCGTAGCCATGGTATTCGGCTGATGGTGGTCTTGGCTCGCAGAAAGCCTTTAAATACTGTAGCTAGAGTCGCCAAACACAGCCATAGAGCTAGAGATAGTCTACTGCTTGCATTATGACAATGAGCGCGTAACCAGATCCACACTACACACCGGTGTAACGCTGGGCGTGCAGATGGTAAAGGTCATGGACCTCTACTCGGCATAGCGCAGTGGGTGTGACTCGTCTGTGTACTCTACTTCTCATTTAAACTTTTAAGCAGTGACTATGATGCACAATGTCTCTAAAGACATCGTCATGGTATTCGGAGCACTTTCCTTTGAGGATCACAGATTTTATCTCCATCATCATACTCTTCTTGAATTAATACACTTCTTTTCTGCACCTACCGGTGTGTGAAACAATAACAATAATAAAACAGTGAAGAGAAATGTGTGATCTGGGATGATGAATTTTCTGACATGCGTGCCTATGACAACACAAGCACAAGGCATATAAGCAGTGTGATATAGTTGCTGGGTCAGTGTAGGATGACACCCTTAGGTGATTGTGTGGTGAGCACTAGAATGGCCATGGTTTACTCTACACACACAGAGTAGTTTTGTAAAGCACCTACTTAAGCGTAATGCACACTCTTGAGGTGCTCCCAATCACCATGCCAGTTTGGTAACAGAAATGGGGTGTTAGATAACACCAGATTTAACAGTGTAATCGCGTCCTTGTTGGAGACACTATCGCATAATTATATACACCTGCTTGAAGGTAATAAGAGACAGATCCATAGCTTCTGCTGTCACAGTGATCTCTACACATAGCCTTCGAACATCAGAGCGATCTGAAATGCAGTGCTGTCATTATAGGGTGTAAAATAGTGAAACACGTGGAAAATTATCTCTGCAAAAGGAAAGTGGGATGTAGAGATGACTTCGAGCACCAAAGGAAGAACAAGGGGTCATACACACACACCCAATACTGCACAAAGCCACAGGACACCATCCCTATATCGTGGTGGTTCATAGCACTAAAAAGGTTAATCTGAGACAAGATATAGGGAGGTGTCATGTGCTTTGTGCATATTTGGTGTGTACCCCTTGTTTCTTCCTTTTTGGTGCCCTAGGATCCCACGTGTCATCTGAAGAGAATAGTATGAAGAAATGATGTTCCACTGTATATAGGCGAGTGACACGTGTGAAATCTCACGTGATCCACGTACAAACCGCCTCAAACTCAGCGACATGCAGTCACCACTGCTTCAGATTCACGAGCAATAGGCTAGAGGCCAGACCCAGCTATGCAAATGCCCGCCAAGACGTCCTACTGTGCCCTCACGGTCCCCCGAGAGAAGCTCGCACTACGCGATTTTCGTGTCATCATCATCATAATTCTTGCTGTACTCTGCTTGTCTTCTTCTCTCTGTCAGACACCCGCTAGCTCGCTTACCGGACAGCAGTGTAGCGTTGATTTTTCACAGAACGTCTCCAAATTGCCGCGAGGGTGTGCACGCATATCAAGCAGAGACGCGTGTTTCCTTGCCGACAAGTCACTACGGATGATCGTTGAGTCTCTCCGACCGGTAGTCACTGGACAACGCCATTTGCTGACGTAACTCAGCAGCAGTGAGCCGCATGCGTCCGAGAGAGGCGTTTCCCCAATGCGGCGCGCGCGCCTACTATAGTCTCGTGAGCGTGAAAGCCAGGTCTCCGAGACTAAGCCAGGATGCCTGCAGAGGAACTCTATTATGCATCCATGTGCCTCGTGTCAGTCAGTATGCACATGTTTACTGCTAGCTTACGTTTTGCTGATGATTGTGTACGAGAGCAACCTCGCCAGTGGGCGCCGTGTTACGCGCGGCCTTGCCCAGAACGACCTTCATTGTTTGTCCCCAGGTTATAGCTATCATATGTGTAGTCTGGTTACTGACGCCTGCTACGATACACACACCGCCATATGTGCACACCTAATCGCATCGTTGTGTGGAGACACTCACGCATCACACACTGACTCAGAATGTACATATCTTCTGCTTGATCTCAACACCGTATCATCTCACACCCATGAACATCAGAGTGCACTAGAAATGCAGATGCATGTAAAATAGTGGAAACTAAAGTAGGAACCTATCATGTCTTTCTTTCTTCTTTCTTCAAAATGAAGAGGCTGGAGATAGGGATGGCTTGATGCAGCACCAGAAAGGACGACACAAGGGGTCCATTACACAGCAAAGGTTGAGAGGAGGGAACACGAGAAGGTGGTGGTTCAAGAGCAAGCCATTGCAGCCGAGCAGCGAGGTCCGTCATGGGAAGTGAAGGAAGACGAGTTGGAGGAAACAGAGGAAACTCTCGGAATCGGAGGGTGGGCTGTGGTGAAAGTGGCCAAACTCAAAGTGGCAGCAAAATGTCTGCACGGCCAGTTGATCTACGACTACCACCGTCAACTGTTCAGACGAGAAATGGACGTAGCAGCCAGAGTCAGCCACCCCAACTTGCTGCGTTTCCTCGGAGCCAGACTGGAGGGAGGCATGGCCATTCTGACAGAGTTCATGCCGACTAGTCTCAGAGCTCTGGTCAACAGACGTCCACGACAACGTCTTCCTCTGGAACACGTCCTCTCCATCGCAATTGACGTGGCCCGTGCCCTCAACTACCTCCACAACATGAGCCCCGACCCCATCATCCACAGGGACCTCAGCAGTGCCAACGTTCTCCTCCAGCCCTCTCCCGACGGAGGCTGGCTCGCCAAGGTCTCTGACTACGGCACCGCCAACTTCCAGAGTCAGCTTCAGACCGTGAATCCCGGCAGTCCAGTGTACACTGCCCCCGAGTCCCACGACCCTGCTCTCCAGACACCCAAGATGGACATCTACAGTTTCGGCGTGCTCCTGGTGGAGATGTATACGTGTGATTTCCCTGCTCCTGAACGTCGTGCTGAGCTGATGGAGTCCATCGACCACCCCAGACTCTTGAACCTCATCCGACAGTGTCTGAACGTAGACAGAGATCGACGTCCGACAGCTGCTCAACTGGTGGACCTCCTGCACGCCATGCAGTGAAGACAGACACATCTCTGTCACCATACTCGCGATATCTAAATACATGCACGCCATTTGACAATACTTGTGTCCCCCTTTGCTGTTTTTTTACACAGCACATTGTTTAAACTTTTTTTACTTTTCTGGAAAGCGAACGTTATTATTTTTGTCGTTTTGATTCCTGACGCATGCACGCAGTCATAATATTCCCGCCACTGCGCGCATGCGCACTTGTGAGCACACGTGTTGTCAGCTACCGGTCGTCGAGATGAGGGTTTGCAACTGTGGAGGGTCAGAGAGAGTGGTACTGAGCGTATAAACTGAATCGATGGCTGCAAAGTTTTTCTTCTCGTTACGGTGAGTGCAATCAACGGAACCTTGCAGCTCGAGATTGGTTTGGATGAGGACTGCTGGAGTTTGTGTCGACTCATCGCTCCCGTGGCGTGGAGGAGGTTGAGCGTATCGTCAAAGGCACGACGAAGTAGCTCGTCTTCTTGTAGAGTCGACGAGCGTACCCGATTCTTGGGGGTTGAGACTTGTCGATGAACAGACGAAGAAGATGAACCTTCCTTCTGTTCTTCTTCAGTTGCTTTCTCTTCCATCGTGATGTTGACAGGATCGGTGAGATCTTGGAGCCGTACTTCTTTCCTGGCTGACACGTGTCGTTCCACCACTGGAGGTGCGTCGGTGAAATCCACAGACACCCATCCTTCCAAGTCCCCGTCCAAATCACTATCTGAGAATTTCGGTCGATGCGGGATGATCTTTGATAGGAGGGGGCTGTCCCCGTGATGGAGATGGGAGTCAGTTGATCGGTGGTGGGTGGGTCTTCTGGACTGCCAGTCGAGACCGCGTCTGTGGGGTGAAGTGTTGACTTTCTTCTCCTGTTGGAGGTAGCTGAGTGTGGCTATGTCGAGTGGAGTCTGGCCTCTGTTGTTGGAGGTGTTGACACTGGCTCCAAACGCTATCAGGACTTTCACTGCCTCCACGTCTCCTTTCTGTGGGAAAGAGAGCTGTAACGTCCCTGCGCTTACGAACATGGTTCTGATCGCTGGGAGAGACGGCGCCTGACGCACAAGCAAGTCTTTGAGGGTTTTCTGAAACACTCTAAATCGCTGAGAGTGGGCTGTTCATACTCAAACCTCTACCTCTCATTCTCTCAGACCTCTCTCTCAGTACATCAGTTTAACCATTGTATGGAGGAGGAATATAAATATGCTACTAAGTTTGTGAAAACAAGGCCTGAAAATCTAAGAAAAATACACTATCATTTCAGCTATATATCCGCTCCTCCAAGTACTGGCTTACGTAAGAATTTCAGAGGTTACAAGGCTAACTAACCTGAACGGCACAAAACTATCACAACAAGCATGTCACTGGTATATGAACCTTCACAGCCAGGTGTAGGGGCGTATTGCCATCTTCAGTCCTACAGTCAACCTCCCCACTCTACACAAAATTTCTATCTGGCTCACTCTTATTTCTGATGGAAGACCATCTACACCCTCTTGAATAGCAGCCTTGACAGTCTGGAAGAAAAGGAGGAGAGAGGAATGCATGTGGTAGTGCTATGTCTATTTAACAAGCAAACACATGTTCTCATGTATTCCGTTACAAGCCCTTTACAAGCCTACAATCTCTTCTGAGCTATCAACTATCCTACCTGAACGGAATGTCGCTTGAAGGTCTTGTGGAGCTCAAGTGAAGGACTCCCTTTCTTCCTTACCACTGGAGAGACTCGCGAAGGCTGGTGGAAAGAGAAATCAACCCAGTTGCAGACAAACGAGTGAATAATAGTACTCTGAAAGCGCTGGGAGGTAGCTGAAATGCCGCCTAGGGCGGCTGCCAAGACACAGCGCGGAAAGGGTGCCATTTCTGGGTCTAGCATCCAAGATGCTTGCTGTATCTGCTACAGAAAATCGGCCCTAAGGATGATATCCTGTTCTGCTCTGGCACCTGCCAGAAGCATCTA